CTCAGCACTAGATTAATTTTCTCTAAGTGGGTTTCCCAACTCTTTTGAATATATAATTATATCATCTATGTAGACCATCATCCAATCTTGTCTGATAAATGCGCCAAAAATTGAGTCCATCATTCTTTGGAAATGGGAAGGGGCATTTTTTATTCCAAAGGGCATTCTTAAATATTCATATATTCCCAAATGACAAATTATTCTCAAAAATTGTCTGCTATCTGGGTCAATGGGTATCTGATGGAACCCTTTAAGAACATCCATAGTTGTGATATATTTAGCTTTGGATAAATTATGCAATGAGTGATCAATACGGGGGATTGGGTAATAATCAGGTCTGGTGTAGTTATTCAGGGCTCTGAAATCACCAACCATTCTTGATTTCTCATTATGCCAGGCAATAATTACTGGAGTAGTAATTTCTACTTGTTCATTGTGTCCAACTTTCCTCAACACACCTAATTCCATTAGTTCTTTAATGTGCGTTTCTAAAGCTTCTCTGGATTTAGGACTGGAAGGGTAAGGGGGTCTTCTCAGGATAGGAGGATAAGGTTCTTTGACAGTTAACTCCAACTTCATATCATGCCCTTTTATGTTACCAATAGGTTCTTCAGTAGTACAAAAGGATTCTTTATTTATGAAGCAAGTTTTAAGTACGTCTAATTTCTGTTGCTCGTCTAAAATATCACTGACAGCTGCTTGAGAAAGATATTCAGCTTTGAAGGACATCATTTCTTCCGTCATTTCATCTGGCACATCAGGGAGTTTGATATTCACATTGCAAATTTGAAATTTCCTTTTCCAATCTCCTCCAATAGTATAGAATCTGTTTTTACTTTGAAATATGTCAATTCCATACATGCAAAAAGTGTCATTTCCTAGGATCAAATAATCACAAATGGCATCTTGAAGAACTACAAATTCTATGGACAGTCTTAAAGATCCTTTGGAGTGAGGAAAGATTAATGGCATTACTACAATTCCTAAGGGTTTCATTGAAGAATTACAACTACTAAATTTTGCTTTGGGGACAGGCAGCAAATTATTTTTCCATTCTGGATGTATTTCATCTAAGAAATTGCTGCTGGTACACGAGCAAAAGGCTCCAATATCTAATAAAGCTTTTACTGATTTATCTTCAAATAAAACAGAAGTGTAACTAGTTTTTCCCATAGTATAACTCATTCCTTTTTCTGGTTTATTAGTGAGCAATTTAGCATCAGAAACATGACCAATCTTCATGGAAGAATCCCATCTCTGCGGTAAATTAGAATCTCCTTGAATGGTATTGATATGTAATTCATCACCAATATCAGCTTGGATTACCACAATTCTATGAGACTCATCTTCTCCTGGTTCAGTGGTTATGAAATCAAATTGAGATCCAGAGTCATACTCACTGTCAGTTTCTTCATATACTTCCACATTATTGATCTTTTTGCGTGGATTAGGGCACTCAGGTCTTTTGTGGCCCTTTTCTCCACAATTATAACACTCAGGTACACTAGCTTTTCTTATGGGGGCTTCAGCTGTAGGAGCTTTTTCTTTGACATTATCTGGTTTGATGAATTCTCTTTTTTCAGGTATATTACTTCTGACGTATTTTTTATTCAAGTTGTTCATAATAACCACTTCTTCTAATACTCCTACAAATTCAGTCAGATCAACGTCCATGTCTTTTAGCCTACATCTGACTAAGTGCTCTATGGTTCCTTTGCATTGAGTTAATAATCTGTCATTTATTTCTTCCGCAGTAGGATTAGTGTAAATACATTCAATCCTTTTCTTTTGGAGCAAACACCATTCTCCCACTGAATGTTTGACAGGATCAAAGTAATCACTCTCAAAGGCTATTCTTTTAGCTGTTTTCCATACTCTGGTGCTAAACCTGGCAATAATTAATTCTTTCCATGTTGCCCAACTTTGCAACCCTATAGATTGGCTTTTGGTAACAAACCAGTCTCCTGCTATTCCCTTCATTAGTCTGGGGAGCTTGGAGGTAATCATGTCATCTGGAGCATTATACGTCCTTAACAAATAATCTATATACTTAATGAAACTAATGTGGTCATATTCATCTTTGCCGTCAAATTCTGGCCAATCCTTTATTGGAGGCATGTATTTATTTAAATTAGCCAGTTCAGCAGCTGTATACGGAGTAGAGTTCCTTATAAAATCAGCTTCTTCATTGGAGTTTCTATGTGTTCTAGGATCTGGGTTGATATGATGAGGAGAAGTTGAAGAACAGTCTTTGATTTGTCCATTACTTGATCGCATAAACGGATTATTATACTTTGGTTCATCTATTGCAGGCGTACAGTCTTTGAGACCTTTTTCCTTTTGAACAGGAAAAATATGGGGGGGTGTATCCCTGTTATGCCTTAAGATATCTGGCAGTCCTTTCTCCTCGTTACTTTTAGGTATCGGAACATTAAGTCTCTCCGTTTCTTTGAGAGTCTCAAATTGTCCTTGCATCTTCTTCTCAAAAAGTTCTATCTTACTATCGGTTTGATTGCTCAACTGTATTATTAGGCTCTTAATCTCGCTAGTTACTCTCTCGAATTTAGCATTCTCAACTATAGTGTCTTGTCTTAATGAGGACAAGATGTAGTCTGCGTTAGCAGTATTAGCGGCGGCGGAGTTACGTTCGAACTGGACTATCTCTCCTACAGTACTTTTAACGTCTCTTAAGTTCTCTCTCAGGTACTCTACATCTTTCTGAATAACTGTTAGTTGTTCGCTGTGCTTAGGAGTTAACGCTATTGGTAGCGGACGATCAAGGTGTTTGATTATTTTTAGAATAACTTCATCTAAGTTTTCTTTTAATTTAGAGGAAGAAGATTCTAGACTATGTACAATACTAGCGAAATTACTTTCACTATTAGAATCAAGAGTAGAAATGTTAAAATTGAGAGTTTCTAAAGAGTCAAGGATAGTAATTGCTACCTTGGGGTCGGTTAGACGTTCTGGTATAGCCCGGAAGCCATTTGGAGGAGGTCCGTCACCTTCTTCCATTTGGCGGGGTCGGAGAAGTTGGTCGAGCTTGAGCTTTGCTTCTTGCCGGGCTCGTTCCGTTTGAACTTCATAAGATTCTTTTTGGGTGGAGAGGGGAAATGTATCTTCTTTTCTTCCCATGGGTTCCAACCCTTCACATAACTCTCTATCTCTTCGTTGTCGATGAGTTTCTGAAGAGCCTTCTGACTCTCCTGAGCGGTAGTCAGTAAGGCTCGTAGCCTTGCGGTCGGTCCTTCCCTGGAGGCGACTAGACATTGTTTCCAGAGCCCTACGTGCTCTTTCACCCGGAGTTTGACTTGATCTTCCTTCGATAAGATCCTGATTTCCGGTGTGGAAGGGCGTGTCGGGGTAACTTCCGAGCATTCTGGGTCGATCTCGTCGATCTCCATAGCAGAACTCTTCTCCTTGTTCAGAGGCTGCTTTTCTTTCGAGGTTTCTTTGTCTTGAGACGTAGCCGGAGTCTCCTTGCGGATTATGGTCGTCATTTTCAAGTTTTCTACTCAAGATTGAAGTTCTTTTGCCGCCGCGAGGTCTCGTTGGAGCGGGGAGGGGACCTCGTAATTCTGGGCAGTTTGCTCTAGTGGATTTAGTCATGGCCAATTACTTCGAATCAGCTAATAGATTTCTTAGTTTCAAAAAGAGAAAAAAAAAAAGGATTTGATTACTAACGTTCGGACGTTTGGCTATCGGACCCGTTATCAGTATCGACTGAAGGAGTAGGGCTAGCTCGTTCTTGCCTAATTACACCGGTCTCAAACGTAGACACTGGACAAATGAGGAAAAAAGTAAATATTCTATTTTTAATCCCAGAGATAAGGAAAGGGATAAGGTATGCTAACTTTTTTCGAGATATCTTTTCCGACTAAGTTGATTGTTTTTTTCGCGGATTTCTCGAAGAAAGCTCCTGAATTGGATCTGTCGATCTAAGTCTTCTTCTTGATGTATATGAGCGTGATACGTAGCGAGAAGGAGCTGTTCTTCTTCGGATAACTTCTCCCAAGGAGTTGGCTGGTAGTTCCGTTCCTTTTCTTCTTTCCGTAATCTAAGAATGATAAGATAACGCTGGATTAATTCGGCGTTCTCTTGGAGGTTCACTAAAAAAATTAGAAAGGAATATTTTTTTAGGAATTTTTTTGTTTTGCGGATACGAATTTGGAGAGAGATAGTTTCGAAATAAATGGAGATATTTTTTATGGATTTGATTTTTGTTTTCTTTAAAGTAAGGAAAAGGATGACCGTGAAAGAATGATACTTCTTTATGGGTTTGATTAATTTTATGAGAAAAAATCAGGAATAAATTCCAGGTGGCTTATTTTATTAAAAAAAAAGGTATTTTTTAATAAAAAATTTCCCGGCCAGACCCCCAATTGTCAGCCTATGTGATGCCAAGACAAGTGTCCTCTAGCTACACAAGGTGCAAAATATAAGAGTTTTTATGGAAAAAACTCTGGGATAAAACTGGTACAGGTAATTCAAAAGAATTACGTAGAATTTATGGATTAAATCCAAAAAGTGGCCAATTTATATTAATAAAATTAATATAAATAAGACCAGAGGGGCCTGATAATTCAGGGGTGGTTTAATCTCTCTAAGGTATCGTGCAAAA